TGTGCAAATGGATGGATGCAACACCATTTTTAGTTGGACCTGAAGTATAGTTCATTTGGATAGAGTTTGTACTTCTGCCTTGCACTTGTATCAAGGATTGTTCTTTTTTCCTTAAAAGATTGATGCTATTTATTATTGCCTGATGTTGAATTTAATAGTTTGGTGCATGATGTCTGTTAAACTATTTGTGATACTCCCGTGGCAGCATTTCGTACGTCTGACTGTCCAGGCTCCTTTTCTTCCTTGTACGTTCATGTTGGTAATGTTTATAATTATCTTGCAGCTTGCTCCTTTTGATCCAACCAAGAAAAAGAAGAAGAAGAAGGTGGTGATACAAGAGCCATCAGATGAGGTGGATAACTTGGCAGAGAAGACTGAGAGTTTGACTGGTGTGTTTAGTATCTACAAAAAAGTAGAGTAGTTCACTGAAGATATTTTTAATGATATGCATTTATTTATGCAGTAACTGAGTCTAGTGAGCCAAGCTTTGCGGGCATGAAAAAGAAGAAGAAGAAACATGTGAGTTTATTCTTCTGTCATCATTTGGTTTCAAATGGTTTGACTAGGGATTACTTTTTTGTTATGGTTCAGTTTTTCAATTGTGTAAATTTCAGGTGGAACTTGATCCTTCTCTTTCTGAGACCGGAGATGGTGATGACGCTGGAGGTAAATATATTGCTCATACAATTATTTTTTACTGTACATTTCTTACTGTAGTTTAACATCTGTGCTCCAGACGATCAAGTTAGAGAGGATGAAGAAGGAGAAGGGGTTGTGCTCAGTGGTGCCGCTGCCACCAGATACCCTTGGGAAGGAACTGACAGAGATTATAAGTATGAAGAGGTATTTGATACACCCTGTTCGAAATTGCTCATCAACCTGTAGTTGACAGATCATGTGTAATACAGCAAAATTAACATAAATAAAATTTACTTTATGTTGCTATGTGTTACGGTAGAGCCTTTCTCCTGTATTATAAGTTGTTTGTCTGTATGATTCATTCTATTGTGGTACAGTGTCAATTTGCTGCACTTAAATGCCATTTTTCATGTGTTTCTTGATTTAGTTTTTGCTTCTTTTCATTTACCTTCCTCCCTCCTTGAAATTATGGGCTTGTTTGGTTAGAGCCCTCACCTAAAATGCCTGTGGTCAGAATTGCCTGTGTTTGTTGCCGTGCTCCAGGCGTAGCCGTGTTTGGTTGGTGGCCTGCCAAGCAAGTTTCTTGCCAGGCATCGATCCTGCCGCCAGGCGACCGAAATCAATGGTCTGGATCTGCTGCCTGGCAGGCAACCTTGCCTGGCGGTAGAACCAAACTTGCCTGGCTGTAGTCAATGCTCAAGAAGTCAAGAACACACTTTCCTGATTGCAAATACAGGCAACTCCTAAACCAAACGCTGCCTGTCCCTTCTGACCATACAGGCATGTTATTAGGGCTTCAGCCAAACACTACCATGAATTTGAGATATGCCTGACCAGGAAATTCTATAACCTATAACAGGAAGTTCACAGGGGGGTATAGAGCTCAGGCAACTCATCCAGGGCTTGAACCAAAAAAGCCCTATTATACTGAAAGAACATCTTGCCAATATATATGCTTTTACCAGTGATCCAATTATGTTTTCTTTCTTGGTGAAATATTATCTTCAATCTGTTTGGTTGCAGCTGCTTGGCAGAGTATTCAATATTCTGCGTGAGAACAACCCGGATCTTGCTGGTGATAGAAGAAGAACTGTTATGAGGCCCCCTCAAGTCCTCAGGGAAGGAACAAAGAAGACAGTTTTTGTGAACTTCATGGACTTGTGCAAAACGTATGATCGTATTTCGTTTGATCACCTCGTGTGTTGATTTCAAAAGAATATACAGCCAAGCTAAAAGCAAATTATTATTCTCTTTCCAGAATGCATAGGCAACCAGAACATGTTATGATGTTCTTGCTTGCTGAGATGGGAACAAGTGGATCCCTGGATGGGCAACAAAGGTTGGTTATCAAAGGAAGATTTGCGCCAAAAAATTTCGAAGCAATACTTAGGAGATATATCAGTAAGTTAAATAGCTCTCTGACTCCTACTCCTCTTTATTGTAATTATTTCTATTAATATAGTGTCTTATCTCAATATTCTGGCCCAAAGCTGTGATATAGAAGAATTAACTTCTAGTGCCAATTTACTGTCATTTTCATTCATTTCCTATTGGTTAGTTATTATAGAAAACACACAATGTATTTCAAAAAGGCATCGAGTGCCAAAGAGGTCTTAGGTAGGTAGGTAGGTAGAATTATCTTATATATTCTCTAGATGTATGAACTTGCCATGATGTGCTGAGTCATATCTTGGCTTGTGGTGTGTAATAGCTGTCTGTATCTAATACCTCAATCATGAACCTTTTGATCTTTTCATAACCCGGACACAATGGATGGCTTGAGATGATCTCAGCAGACTTATTCTTTGTAACTCTGTATATAAGTTTTTTCAAGAACAAAGGCTAGGGAAACTTGCCAAAGCACAATGAGTAACCGATGGCTTGAAGTGACCTCAGCAACCCTGTTCTTTCTCCAATTTCATATATAAGTTTTCTCAAGAGCAGGGGTTAGGGATACTTAAAGCCTGCACACAAGGATTAGTGGATGGATTGAAATGATCTGGGCAACCCTATATCTTTCTTCAACTCCATATATATATATTTTTTAAAAAGAGCATTTGTCCGCAAAACTTAAAATGAATGGTAGGTTAGAACTTGTATTAGGTAGTCGTTACTGTCCTTTCCTTTTTCTATGTGGAGAATCAACACGAATGGTTTACCATTTTTTAATATTTTTTCTAAGCTTGCTAAAAAAGATTCTTCCTTTTTTTTGTGTAATAAACTAATAATTTCACTTTTTAGATGAATATGTCATATGCAATGGCTGCAAAAGTCCGGATACCATTCTTTCTAAAGAGAACAGGCTGTTCTTCCTCCGATGCGAGCAGGTGAATTATTTCATAGTGTTGCATTCCCAATTCTCTCTAGTTTCATCATGTGATTATTTGTTGCATAATATCATGATCCTTTTATCTGGATGGCTTCTAGATTAAACATTGTCTATGTGCGTGCTTGCCTGCTTGGCATGGCTTAGTGTCCTGGGCAAAATCTTGCTTCAATAAAAAGTTGAAAACTGGAACATTACCCTGGATATAGTCTACCCTAAGGCATAATATTGGTGATGCCTGATGGTGCATGGGAGTCACTATTTCTGATTTCCAAACTTTTGCCTACTATTTGGTTTTGGTTTTTTGGCCAAGGGGAATTAGAGATTATGTACATATACAGAAGGGTGTATTTACTGCAAACCATGAACTAACTTTGCATGTGCATTGCTTCCACCTACTTAATATTTATTGCATTGTGATTGCTGTAGAAGGGCGGGCCTGGTGCAAGCGGTAGAGTCTTACTGCCTATGACCGGAAGGTCCCGGGTTCGAGTCGCGGTCTCCTCGCATTGCACAGGCGAGGGCAAGGCTTGCCACTGACACCCTTCCCCAGACCCCGCATAGAGCGGGAGCTCTCTGCACTGGGTACCGCCCTTTTTATTGTGATTGCTGTAGATCTTGCCTATGATGACTTGCATGTTGCCTACATTGTCTGATTAATATCTCTATGATAATAGTCGCAAGATCTGAGGCTTCTAACTGCATCACCTCGCATATGTATATAATAATCATATAATAGCATTGGTCTTCTTTTTTTCCGGCACGGACGGACCGATTTTCATTACCCAAGAGCAATGAAATTATAAAAGTTTAACAATCCATAGTGTGTGCGTGTTTAACCAGCGTTAACTAAACTGCCAGTTGTACTGAACTCCCAGGGTTCAGACAAAAGGCAACCAAAACAACCAAAATCCAATAGCATTAGTCTTTGTTTATAAACTTTGCCTGTGATGACTTGCAAGATGAATGCCTACATTGTCTGACATATATCTGTATGATAATAATTGCAAGAGCTGAGGCTTTAAACATGATCGTAATTTATCTTCATGTGTGCATTTTCATTTTCAAGTGAGCACATAGTTGCAGAGCTTCGTAGCTGCTGCTACATTCGTTCAACTCTTCTGGAGTTGCCAATGATGAGTTGCGAAATTATTGCCTACATTGTTTGACAGACATCCCTGTGATAATAATTGCAACAGCTGAGGCATACAGCGATTCCATTAGATTTCTTTGGTATCATATTTGTTGCTTCTGGCTTAAAAGAAATGTTTTGTTGGTATCATACTTTATTGAGTTGCATTGCCTGCATTGTTTGCTCAGCAGAGTGAGAAAATCTGAGGACAACACAACACTCCATCAATAAAGTATTTCGTTGATATAGAGTTAGGAATCTGAGTGCAATAAGGCTGGTTTGGTGTGTGTTGACATCTGTTTGAACACTTCATGAGACATGGGTATCCTAACTAACTGTTGGATTATTCACCTTGCAGTGTGGTTCGTCGAGGTCTGTTGCTCCCATCAAGGCTGGATTCGTTGCCCAAGTCGGCCGTCGTAAGGCTGGATCTTAAGTTACCTACGAGTACTGCCTGGACTCGCTTTCCGATCATGGCAATGCAAACTAGTTTGCCGGTCCACCAAAATTATTGTTCCACTTTCCTTTGTGCCTACACCGTTTACTGGATTTGTGCTGTTCACTATACTTGGATTGGAGCTGTGAATTTGTTTCATGTGATGAGAGGATTTGTGTTTGCGGCTCACTTGGTGTTTACGTTTGGTTTGCTCATAATTCGCTGTGGAATGCACTGTCGGGAAGCTTCCTGAATTGGACGAGTAACCAAAAACGTGTTGCTGACATGCACCATGGCCGTCCTATCCTCCGAAATCTTTCGAGCCCATACACGGCCTCCCAAGAAGAGTACTCGGGATAAGTGGATAAGCTGACGTGTCGCCCGCGTTGCCGTCGCCCACAAACTCGCTTTTCACTGCCTTTTTCCTTTTGCTCCTCTCTTGTTCCGCCGAGCTCACGCCAGTAGAGATGAGGGCCGCGTCGTCCCCCGTTCCCGCCGCCATCCTCGCGGCCCCCTCCGCCGCCGCCGTAGTCGTAAAGCCTCTGCCTCGTGCCGCAGCCAATGGCGGCGGCAGCGGCAGCACAGGCAGGCGCGACGTGCTTGCCGGGACCGGGCTGGGCGCGGCGCTGCTGCTGGCGCTGGGCCCCGTGTGCGGCGCGGCGCGTGCGGCGGACGAGGAGTACGTGAGCGAGACGAAGGAGGTGATCGGGAAGGTGCGGTCGACGATCAGCCTGGACAAGTCGGACCCGAGCGTGGCCGACGCGGTGGCGGAGCTCCGGGAGCTGTCCAACTCATGGGTGGCCAAGTACCGGCGGGAGAAGTCGCTGCTGGGGCGGCCATCGTTCCGGGAGATGTACTCGGCGCTCAACGCCGTGTCGGGCCACTACATCAGCTTCGGCCCCACGGCGCCCATCCCGGCCAAGCGCCGCGCGCGCATCCTCGAGGAGATGGACACCGCCGAGAAGGCGCTCCTCCGCGGCAGGTAGGCCAAAACCCCAGCGAAGCCGCGTCCATGGCGATCGCCGTCGCCGTGGTTAAACTTGTGGCAGGAGCGCGCGTGATGCCCAGCTCAGCGACAACGCTACCATTTTGTAACTACTGCGATGTACTCAGTGTATATATATATATATATATATATATATATATATATATATATATATATATATATATATATATATATATATATATATATGCATGCATTCGTACGTGATGCGAATGCGAGCTGTTTTTTCGGTCGGCTGGGAGCGTGTCCTATCACTGTGAGTAAAAAGTTACCGAGATTTTGAGGTCTGAGTTTGCGACTTTCAGTCACATTGTGTATCGATCTTGTAAGACCTTCGAATCAGCTACCTGTCTTGTTCAGAAATTTGGCGTAGCCGCGTAGACAATGCCAGATAATCGGAGGCACCGATCGCCTGTGGATGCGTGAGGTACTCTTGCCGACGCCGGCAAGACTGACGTGCAAAAGGGGGACGGGGACGGGGCGCACCGCATGTTCCACCTTTGCTTGCCGGCAGTGGCAAACTGCCCAGTCCTGCACATAAGTCTTGCTTGTGTTCTTAGGCCAAGCAAACAAAAAATTGGCCATGTGATAAGTCCCATGGAACCTGCCGGAATGACCTCCCACAGACCCACACCACTGCTACGAAGTTCTTGGAATATATGCTGTTAAACCAACTCGTTGTTGTCAACCCAAACTCTGCTTTTACGCTCCCTCTAAGTTTGCTCTGGCTTTTCCATGATTTTTATTATATTTCTAGACATAATATATATATAGATGCATAGCAAAAGTTAGATACCTAAAAAAAAACTAGTACCTTCTCATTACTCCATTCTGCAAGGAATGCTCTTTGTTGCCAACCCAAACTCTACCTTTTATACCTTCTTATTACTCCATCCTGCAAGGAGGTGTTGTCAGATGATGCAATAAGTCTTGTAAGCATTTGTTTTGCTACTGGATACTCCTAGTAGCCCTCGACCAATCTTACCAGCCAACAGAAATAGCACACTGAACTCTCATGAGAAACTCAAGATAAAGCATCAGCAGCTGTCAGAAAGGCCCTTTGTATAAACCAATGCAAATCATAAGCCCGTTAGCTTAATAACAGCTTTCTGTTGCAGTCTGCCGAACTACCGCTCCTTGTGTAACGCATCAAAATACCCAATGGTCTCCACTCTCCACCACTCTTATCCTTTACCACCCGTCACAAAGGGCAAACAGTGCCACAGCAAGTAGAAATACAGACACTAAACGCATGTCCCACACACCGAAAGCACGGATCAGCTTAACGATGTTAGTTGTCACAATATTTACCACTAGTGAAGATGCACAAAAAAAAAAGGGCAATAATAAACAAAAATAAAGTAATTATGAGGATAATTATGGCGCTTCAATAAGAACGTTTGGCAACATTACACATTGCACTAGCCAAGCTGCTGTTCTCAAGAAATAGGCACTTGGCAGGCCTACCCACAACACAACAATATAAGGTTAGATTTCCATCACTAATGTCTTGAAGAAATACATAGGGTTCGGACTCAAAGATAAATATTTGAACTCCGGGGTAGATCTCAGATCACAGATCACGGAAGTAGTTCTTCAGCCAAGGGGATTCGGCTTTTGGAGGAACGGTGCCGGCCTCACATAACTGAACCCCACAAAGTTGCTGTTGGCTGCAACAGGGCTGGCCACTGGAGAGTCAAGCACAGGCATGTTCGTCCAGCACTCATCAAAGTTTGCAATGCAGGTCTTGCCAGCAACATTCGGCCGGAAGCTTGGCTGGATCTGACGGGCCTCCAGTCTCTTCCAGTTTACAGACTTGAACCACTTGTGGTTCTTGATTTCATCACTGCCGCCTGGTCCACTTCCCAGCCGTCTGCCAGCTTCTTTGTGCAGTAACTGAAATAAATAAAATAGTGTTGAGAAATATGACATGATCATGCCAGGATGAATATCCGGAAAAGGGAAACATTGTGAGATGGAATGGTAGCTTGATGGGCATCTTTAGTTCAATCCACGTAAATCTGGGGCTCCACAAGCACATCATATATTGTCGCTATTATTAAGACTTCAGAGTTTTTATTTTACCAAACAGTAGATTTTAACAAAAACACAAAGCTGGCTGAGCAAAATGCATAGGAGCAAGGTAGGCATAGCAGGAACTTACTCCTTTCAACAGAGAGTGAACTTCACTAGATAAATATGTCGGCAGCTTTATCTTCTCCTTTACTATCTTCTGTTGAATCTTGTCTCTGTTTCCACCAATAAACGGTGGCTGCCATACATGGCAAAAGAATAAGGATGTAAAAAATGAAACAAAAAAATTCTCCTGTGTAGCTAACACTTCCAGTCAGAAGCTTCCAGCTCAAAAAAACTCACCTTTCCCGTAAGCATTTCAAAAAGAAGAATTCCCACACTCCACCAGTCTGCAGCCTTATCATGACCTCGGCCCTGAACAATTTCTGGGGCCATGTACTCAACAGTACCACACATTGAGTTTGATCTAGTGTTTTCATCAAATTCTTTTGCCACGCCAAAGTCAGTCAGCATAGCCTAGAAACCGTAGCCACGTCAAGAAGGGAGAATTTTTTCAAAATACCAATTAGTATATGATACATAGGATGGGCAGAGGTTATATTAACAGATCCTTACATGACCATCAGCATCCAGTAAGATGTTCTCAGGCTTCAAATCTCTATGCATAATACCATTGGCATGGAGGTGGGCTACAGCAGATACAATTTCAGCAGTGTAGATGCGTGCAAGCTCCTCCCTACAAGATAAATGGTAGCTTAATAAAACTAAAACTAGTAAAAACTTGATAGGCACAAAAGTAGATGAAACTAAGTTACCTAAATAAACCCTGGTGGTAAAGCTGGAAGAAGAGATGGCCTCCATTTATGAAGTCCAGGACAAGGTAGAGTCGGTACTTTGTCTGCCAAAATAGGTGAGTGATTAATACTGGCAAAAAGGATACTGCAAAATTTATAGCATCTGAACATGGGAACAAAGAACAAGTGCATGAATGGCAATTGCCTACCTGAAAAGAGTACCTCAGCTGCACGACGAAAGGATGGTCAACTTTTGTCAGTATATCTCTCTCAGCTTTCATGTACTCAGCATGATTCTTCTCCACAACCTTGTCCTTCCTCATAACTTTCATTGCATATATTTCAGAAGTACCTTTCTTTCTCACCTGATATACTTTGCCAAATGCCCCTTGGCCAACGAGCTTCAAAACTTCAAAGTCATCTAGTCCAACACCCTCATTCTCCTTTTTTACATCATCAAACTCATCATCACTAAGGGACCCTTGGTTGATCTGCTTTTCTTTGGAAGGGCACTCTGAAAGTTCCAATGAGATCTCTGTTTTGTGCAGTGTAAGCTTGCTAAATGGCAAAGACTGACTAACAAGAGACGATGGACCAACAAGAGAATGAGATCGTTTGACAATGACATCAGGGTCATCGTAAACCTCATCGTTGGACTCAGCCACAGGTGCTGGACTGTCAGGAGTGAGAATACTCACTTCTGTGTGAGTCTGGACTGCACTAGGCCCAAAAACATCAGAAAAATCGAACTCAACATTTTCAGAAGGGACGACATCTGGAGCCCCCCCTGGCAGAAGGATCTTCCCTCTAAAAAGCTTTGGGCCCTGTGCACGCACCGCAGTAACAGAGGTTATCTCAGAGGAAACCATCTTCGAGAACCTATGAGATTCAACAAGATGACAAGGAAGTCTTGGGCCACAATTTAGCTAGGCAGCTCCCCACGGCCAATTCCCAGACCAGAAATAATGCCTTGTAGGGCAGCGGTCTAAGGAAGGCTCCCTCCACAGATTCCCAAGACAACGGAAGATGCAGGGCTGCGAACAATGGCCTTGAACAAGTGGAAATTTACGAAAACAATTGGGAACCCAAGAAATCCTGGAAGGAGGCAGGGAGGGAAGCTGCCGCTGTTTCCCGCTGAACAGGAAACGTTGGATGCCACTGTTCTTCCTGAATTCATGAGATCAACTTTTCTATGGGCTGCAGGCAGAATAATAATATTGTTAATTACAGAATGGGCAGCTTACTTGATGAACATTGAAGAGTGTACATCAGTAAAGAAGAACTTCAGGCTAGGATGATTATTGCATATGCATAATGCTTGGGCATAAAATTGATGAAAGTTTTCTGTACAAAACACTTCCTAAATTCATGAGATTAACTTTTCTATGGGCTGCAGGCAGAATAATAATAATTTTATTTTACAGAATGGGCAGCTTGCTTGATGAACATTGACGAGGGTACATCAGTAAAGAAGAATTTCAGGCTAGGATGATTATTGCATAATGCTTAGGCATAAAATTTGGTCACGTTTTCAGTGCAAAACACACAAACCATAAGATTATTATAACATACAGTAAATGCTCATATCATGAACCTACAACCTCGTCTTTAATTGGAAGCAACGTGCATTCTCGTAAACTTTGTTGTATTTCGATTTTGTGGGAGCTATGGCAAGTAGAGTAATGTTATCAAATGGTCTAATCGATCCTAGTAGCCATGGCACCAATTAGCCCGACTAATCACGATAGTCACGATTAATCATGACTAATAGCTGATCGTCATGGCACCAATCAGCCCGACTAATCATGATTAGTCCGGACGACTTGATAACATTTATGCATGAGCATAAAGTAGAGTATATGATTCAGCATATTCACAAGATAAAAAGGAATTCACACACACAAGAATGATGCTAGACATGTATTTAATATGTATTCAGATTCTATACAGGGAAATGCATCCGAGTCGGTCCAATGACTGTTCCAATTGACAAACTATGCTAACAACTGAAGTGCAAGAAAGGTACATTTGAGAATGGAGCAAATGATCAAAGATTGAAACGGTAAAATAATTTCTGTAAACTTGTCAAACATGCTACAAGTGATGACACTTTCCAAATTTAGAACCCCCAAACACACACACACACAGCTGATCGAAGACCAGAAAACTCAAGTAGAAGCGAACCGTACAAAAACTCATCAATCCCTAACCAGATCTTATTCACCCCAACTCCACTGCCAATCAAAGTCGGGCCCAATCAGCACTGGCGTTCTTATTCACCTGCACCGTTGTTCCCAGCAAACCCAAGAGCTGAGAGTACGAATTTGTATCACCTACAATATTCCCGTAGGCTACACAAAGAATTAACCTACATAACCTAAATTACCCAAAGATCAATTACTTAGCCATATACTGCGATAAAACAAAAAAATATCCCTCCCCACCCATCCACCCACCCACACCGCCACACGCAGACAAGGTAAATCCTCAAATCCACGGCCCCTGGTCTGGTCTCTCGCAGATCCACGGAATGATGGAAGAACAAATCTCACAGATCCAATCACCCAGACGAATCCTGACACCCAAACCAAACAGCAAGAGATGTAGCGCAAACAGCCCCCACGGGCCACGGGTAGTTGGCGAAACAGAGTTTTCAGATGAAAAAAAAATCGGGAAAAGATAGCGCAAGAAGGAAACGTCTGCTAATCGGCAAGCGCGAACCTGACTAAGCGGGGAAGGAAACCGCGGCGGATGAGGGAAGAGACGACTGGATCGAGGAGCCGAGACCACGTACCTTTGTAGAGGGGACGGGCGACGAGGGGGAACGGCGGACAGCGGCGGCGGTTTGCTCGGGCGAGCTCGTGCGGTTGCGCGGCGAGGGGGCTATTATACTAGCAGCGGCGCGGGGGACGCGGGGCTCCGAGGCCGAGGGCGGGAGGGGACGCGTGGCGGTATTGGATTGGTAGTTGGTTCGTAGCGGTTCACATCGTGAAGGTATACCGCCGGGGCTGGAGAATATGCTACGCTGTGGTGGTACCAAAGTTGGACGGAGCGGGGGCCTCACTGTCAGCGATTAGGCATGCTCTCCTGATAGATTCATTTTTCCTCACGATAGATTGATTATTATTCTACTCCTACTTTTTAACTTTCGCGCACTTCCGCCAATGAGTTTCCGGTTTTTGGCAGGGCCCGATCCAGCCTTATCCTTATACCACGCTCCATGCTGTCACAGCCTCACAGGACAACAATAAAGTTATGGTTGTTACGTGGAGTACGTAGTACATTGCAAAATTTATTTACTCTATCCGCCTTTGGTTTTGGGGTTTTGGTCTTGAAAAAATTGGGAATTCGGTTTTTCTTAATAACATGATTAATAAGCCATTTTGCAAGTCAAATCATCTTTTTCTTCTTGCTATCTCTAACTGCTTCTCGAATGAATGGGCAAGCAGTTGCCTAGTGCACACTAGTCTGTACTCCCCCGGTTATCAGAATATAAAGCAGTACAAGATAATTCTTTTGTAAAGGGAAGCAAGAATTACATTTAAATTTATCATAGTACATCCTCAGATTATAAATAAAAAAACTAAGATAAAAATAACCAATATTCTATTTAAATCCTTTCACCATCTTCTTCTCCTGTCGCTTTGGTTGATGCAGCTGATGAACTGAGCCTATCATACACGTGTAGTCCTTATACCGAATGCGCTAACCAAATCCAAGAACCTAGACGTACCATAAAACCCAATGCCCAGCAAACCAAAATGCATCTAAAATCGATAAAAGAACATGTGGGGGATATAACCCTAGGTACCAACGGCAGTAGACATGGGCCGCACCACCAGGGTAGGTCCAGCCCATAAGAAGAAGCCGTGTGACTCAAGACACCGATCGGCATGCATCACACAGTTTTAGAAAAGAATCTTGAAGATAGAGAAGGATCTGTTCGGATATAGTAGATATCGTATTCCCTGTAAATACTTACTATATAGGCGAATAAATCTAGATCTAACCGACTTATAACTCTGCCCCCAGACTATATAAGGCGGGCAGGGACCCCCTCGAGATCATCTCATATTCAATACAATCCAACAAAGACACAAGACGTAGGGTGTTACGTCGATCAGACGGCCCGAACCTGTCTAAATCGTTGTCTCTGCGCCTTATGTCACCATCCGGTTCCTATTACGCGTACCTCCACCGATCATCTACTACCGTGGGTATACCCCTCAGTAGATTGCCGACCAGATTTCGTCGACAGTGGCGCGCCAGGTAGGGGTGTGTGTGCTGATTCCATGGCCAACCAGATGGTCACTTTCCCGAGCTCCATGGCCTTTCCCGAGCCGGGTCAGATCATCACGGTCGGATCCATGACTTGGGTCATCGGCCCCGACGGCAGGTTGATATCATGGAAGCGGTGCAGGATCACCCTGCGTCGATCATGCCAACATCTACAATGACATCTCTGATCCCGATGCCTCGCCGCTGGGTTAGGAGATCTATCAACAATGACGATCTGATCGAAGCTATCGATCGGGTCACGGACCGCTTAGCGGAATGTCATCTCCTCGTGGATTCGGTCTTAGATTGATCTAGAGCGAGCGACGAACCTCCTGCACTCTAAGGTCACCATGCCACTAATGGCAAGCGTCCTGCTTATGCACGTCGTCCGAGGTGGCAAGATGAAGATTTGGTGATCACAGCAACTCCAGAAGGGCGTACCGTTCAACGCCGACCACTCCCCGCCCCAACAGAGAGCATGCCGAGGACCTATCCTTTTGAGCTAGTGGGTGTAGATCCGATCTGTCAGGACACCGTGCACCATCTTTTCGCCAACCACGTCGAGCGCAGCCACATCAACGACCTCTATCAGATCGACTTCCTTGAGGCCGACCAGCCTACGCCGATGATAAACATGGTGCAAATCTGAACAGATCTTTCGGATGACACGCTCCATACAATCCTGGAGGAAAGCCCCGAGCCATACTCCAAGGGCTCTACCAGCACCTACCCACCTTTCCCTCTAGGCTTTGGGAGAGAGCTCTTCATGGTTAGCCACGATAGCGTTACTATCGATGGAGAGACTAGTGTCCAGCACTGTGAACAAGAAACCAGGAACGCTGATCGCCAACGACGTCGCAATGAAGAAGCAGAAGACGCCGTCCTAGCTGTTGGAGGTGACCCGCCGCCTCTCGCTCGTAATCTCCAACTAGAGTTCCTCATGGTGGACAACCAGCAAGTGGAGCAGACGCCGAGCGCCAATCTGGCTGTGGCCGCCCACAAGTTGGCTCGACTCCCGCCAATGTCGGAGGTACTCAAGATTCAAGCGCTGCTTAAAGCAGCTCAGGTCCAAGTCAACGACATCCGGAACCCAGGTCCATCTTATTCGACAGCGACCACACGCTGTCGTAACCCCCATAGTTTTCACCGTGATGGGGGGAGTCGTTACCATAGCGGCCAGATCGTCCAAGGGGGGTCTAGGGGCAATGTCGCCATCAATCCTGGATCACAAGGACCATGAAATCTACATGGCCGACCAGCTCATAACGCCAACCAGGAGGTTAATCAACCCTTGCGTGGTGACACCCGTGACTGTATCAACACCAATCTCGATGTCCGCAATCGCATCAAGAACAGTCGTGCCTAGCGACATTAGGCAGAACTCTAACGCCGACAGGAGTATGACGACCAACACGGCCACCCTATTGGCCTCCGACCACTCCCTGCTATCAAGCCAATGGGACCTCGCCCCTTCACAGCAAGGCTACAAGCTGTACAGTGGCCTATAGGTTTTAAGATCCTTGGGGTCGATCCCTATGATGGCAAGGCTAATCCCGAGTAGTGGATGCAGCTCTACGAGATCGTCGTACGT